TTTTAACAAACTGTCAAATTTATATCTTTTAAACAGATATTTTGAATAGTTTATAAGTGTGAAATCTAATAGTTTTCTTTTCCAAAATACAGTTTTTGAGAGAACTGGCAATTTTCAGTTGTAACATGATTACAATGTATATTTGTTCAGTCATTTTTATCAAGTATAATTCTCTGTAAGGATTTATCATATTGTATAAGTCTCACTGTAATAAAAAAAAAGGCACCTAATAAAAATTGTAACCTATAAATTCCCATTGTTACCTGAATGTCCTTCCCTAATCTTGAGAATGAAGTTAGTTAGATAAAAACAGACCAGATATGAAAAACTTAGGGGTAGGAGGCCCTGATTAACTATATATGAACTTCTGGCATAAACCAGCTGTCATGTTATTTCAATTTAAAAATTTTTCCTGAAAGGAGTTAGATAGATGACCAGCATAACTCAACTGCTAGCAAGAAAAATATGATGTACAGGGCAAGCAAGACACTACTAATTTGAGGTGGAGAGCATATGTTTTAAGTTGAATAAATTAAAAATATGATTAAAAATTGCAGCCTGGCATTGTGAAAATGTCACAATAAATAATTGTTTTGATTTTTTTTACTTTATTTGATTTTATGGTTACAGTATTTGTAATACATTTTGTGCTTGATAATAATAATCTTAACTGTTTTGTTGTGCATTTAATGTGTGAAATGTAGGTCATATATAATAGGTATACATGTACTGGTGCAATTAAAGCTTTTTTCATAAAATCTCAAGCTCTTCTATTGGACTCCTCAATGTCTATTCTGCTTAATGTCATCACATTCTGAGAGTCCAATAGATGAGGTTTCACTCTATTTGTAAGAAATTAACTCCTAACATAATACAGATATTATGTTAAAAAACTTAATTTAATTTTTTTTGTAACTTAATTAAGATCTCTAACTAAATATTACAATCAATGCAATTACCAAGAAAAATATAATTGTGAACTTAAGAAAACCACACACTAATGATCCAGATGGAAAAACAGGTGTTTTTATCCATCTGGAAGTTTAATCTATCTGTGATGTTTTCTCTGAAAACATTAAAGCTCATTAATAAAATGTTCAGAGTTCCTAATGAGGTTAATTATTCAATATTTTTCTAAAACTATTATTATTATTTTATATACATATTATTGTATACATTTTTAATTTTNGATGGAGTTAAATTGAAGTTTCACAGTATAGGCACTCTATTCATTTATAAGCAATAGGGCTATATATTAATAATAGATATCCTTTGGAAAAAAATGAAAATGACATGCTTTGCATACACATAAATGAAGACGTAGAATCTCACACAAGAAACAAATGTATGTTGTATGATAACAAACAAAACATTTTAGGAAGAAAATTTCCTATCAAATTTACTTTTGTATTTTATTTTAAAATATTTTAATACAGTTCAGAACTTCTACATTGCCTCTGCTGATTGGAGGATACATGACAGTTTTTGGTTATTGATTTAAAAGTTTTATCAATATTAACCAGTAAACTGTTGTCTTTTGAATTATGGCTATGATGGCCAAACAATATCAAAAACTAATGCTGCACTAATGCTAAGTTGAAGTTTTTACAACAATGCTGTTCCTTGGGAATCTTTTCTGTATCAATGGTAGTCATGCAATATTTTAATACTTTAAAGACATTTCTCTAATAATTTACTTTATTAAAGTTTAATCATTTTTATATAATTTTAATATTATATTCTGACTGTGGCTTCCCTAGCTTGTTCTAGTCTCCCAGTTGAGAAACATTGACTTAGATTACTGTATTTAAAACTCATCAAAACATTGCTATTATATCAGTGAAAAAACTTTAAACAGATAAATTTGTATCATCCCTTCTGTGATAATATATAAAATAAGACATTTTTAGTCAATTAATTTGTAATATAGTAAACCCACATTAACTCACACTAATAGAGGGTGGAGATTGTCTAAGTTAGTGGATGTTTTCTCTGATGACATGGAACATGAGAAGATGGATATACAGTACAGTAATTTATTATCATCAGCTTTACACAGAAGTTTTACTAAGCTTTAGTAGGTCATACTATTGAATTTATTATTACAGGAAATAAGCTCAAAATATTTTATGACCTGTACAGTATACAGCAATATATAGTCTTTAGTAATTTACTGACTACAGTAATATAATGCATAAAGTAATGACAATACATTACTGACATACAGTAATATATTGCAAAGACTTCTGGATATCAAAAACACTTCATAANTTATATGGAAAGCTTTTTGATCTTAATATAATTCAATATTCTGTAACTAATTTCCTTGTAAACAAATTCTTAATTCAAAATTTTGAACATTCTGGTGTCATTAAACATTCTTCTTGATAAAAAATTCTATGTTTATCTTTACATATTGATTACAGATACATTAAGTTAATTTAATAAAAACTTATTTTTCATTATATTTGTTATTTTATCAGACAATTTTGTACTGGTGAATATAAAAAAGATGGAGTTCCAATTGGATATAAAAGTTCAATTTTTCATAGGTATGTTAATAAATAAATTTTTATAATTTATTTTAATTACTGTAATGTTTACTTACCATATATGTCAGTGTATAAGTTGACTCAAGATTTTTAGCTCAAAATTCTGGGTTTATACCTGTTGCATAAGTTTACACCCAGACGTATGATAAACTATTTGTAGGCTAGATCTGAAATGTGTATATACTCCACAATAACTTGCGTGGTAAAAGCATATAATAAGACCACAGTACTTTCATTGAGACACTAAGTGTAATACAGTAGCTTTTAATATATTATATAACTAATACAAAAAGGGCTGAAGCAACAGAACCTATATAGGAAACCAAGAATCTACTAAAAATTTTCAGTAAGTTATCTTGGTGAGAACTCTGTTATGTATCAGGTCTATTGGTATACAAATTCAACCAAAAATCAACACTGATAATAAAATATTAACAATTTACATAACATAGTACTATGACAATAACACTACATATGGCATATTATAGTAGAACATTGTAACATTCTTTTGCTTAGCATTCTGATATAGTCAGTACATATGTACAGATATAGAAACAATGTGGGATGTAATGTTCATTTATACTGAATTTTCATTGCTTTTATAAATCTTTATAATGAAACAAGTTCATTAAATACAAGTTTTAGGTGGAAGCATTTGTAGCAGTCTGTTGGAGTTAGTATAAGTGGTATGCAGATTTACTTGCTTATCACTCTGTGATAAATGTCTACTTTTATACTGACAGTATAAGTTGATTACTGGTTTTGTAGAGATTTTTTTTATAATGTTGAGTTAGACACCATTATATACAATATGTACAGTACTCGATAAAATTTTAACTACAAAATATGATTCAAAATATAAAATATTTTATATTTTTTATATTTTGAATCATATAAAAAAATTTCCAAACTGAGTAAAACAGAAAACAAATTTATTTATTAGTGTCACAGTACCATTGATTGAATATTATATTAATTATATTATTCTTCAAATTATTTTCTATCCATAATAAATATCATTACTATCTTTCAACTCTTTGAGTTTTTTTAATATTTATTTATTACTAGCATCCCCGTCGCAGCCTGCCCGCTCTTATATACATATAGAACTTAGAAAATTTGAACTAATTGTTCATTAATTATTTTTGAGTGATCAATGTGTACTATTGCAGTAGAGTTTTGCAAAATATAAAAAAATAAAATCATAAAACTTCTGAATAAGTTATATTGATGTGAAACCTAAAAAATTCCTCGCTNAAAATGTTAAATATTCTTCTTATACTATAAAAGTATTTTTTTTAATATAGCAAGTTTATGACATATAGTACTGATTTTTTTACGTATAAAAGCATGCACTTATATATTCAGAAATAAGGTGTGTATTTAATGTATATGTATATATATATGTTACTGTGAATGACCGAAATGGGGGGAATGTCAACATTCACACAGTTGTTTGCGGTAAATGTCAACATTCACACAGTTGTCTGTGTCGACATTAACTGGCGAATGTCGACATTCACAAATATTGGTCTTTCACAGTAACATATATATTTATTTATTTATTCTGAATTGTCTTAAACTGATATATTTAATGTCCTAAATTGTTTGAAAATGATTGTTTTTTTTAAGAACTTGGATTTTTAAGGACACAGAAATTATTAAATGACCTAATTCCACAAATATGACGGTCGTCACGTCTAAATTTGGCCCCGTCTCACATGACAGCAGTTTTACCAACTGAAAAGTAATGTCGCTTTGATTTAATTCGAAATAATTCCATTTCTAAAACGTAAACATTGTGCTTCTTCCCACGAAGAATTACATATAAATACTCAGATTTTCACGTTATAAGCAGAAACTCGAGTGATGTACTTCCAGAAACGATTAAAACTGCCAAGTATTGAGTATTTTAACGATTTTATAAGAAAGATATTATGAATATAGCGCGTTGACCTGTAGCAACGAGCGCATGCGACGCGTGAGAACGCATGCTTCGATGTTTGTCATTACAACACGTATGACGTCACACAATACATTCAACACTATAAATGTTTACTGAAGATGCTTTAGAAAAATATATATATATTATTTCAAATCATGACATTATAACTTACAGCATTAAATTGGCGTCTTTCATCTTGACTTAGTTTATGTTATAATAAAGCGATGAATGGGATTTAATTAGGAAGGGGGAAAATACTTCCCCTTTCCTTCGGCGGCCAAACCGCCTTTGTCAAAAATAAACAATTACGGCTCCATCTGGAGTACCGTAATCAATCTATTTCCCTCGTCTACTACATTTCTAAAAGATTTTTTTCTTTTCGGGAGTATGAATTAATTTTAATCATTTTACGTTATTAAATTATTCGCACTTTTTATTATTTATCTTAAAAATTTTTTAAATCTTGATGTTGAGTTTAATGTTAGTCGTAAGGTGGCGCTAAAAATAGCCATGTGTTTGAATCTGCGTATGAAGACATTTTCGCGGTTTCACTGATTTGTTTTTCAAATAAGTAAAATGTCGACTTGGAGTCAATTACAACAACAGCTTCGACATCCAAATAATCCAGTTGTTTTCTTTGATATTACAATCGGAACTACGGTGAGATATAAGTTAAAAGTATTTACATGTGAGATGATTTAAACACTTTTTGGCACTCAATATCCTAACATTTTACATAGATTAAGATTATGAGAAATTTATCAATGACTAAATTAAATTTTACTACAAACAGATCAATAAAATATTATTCGAATTTGATCTTCATATGTTTTAAATATATTCTTACATAACATAATATGGGTAATGTAAATAAAAGTATTTTGAGTTTAAAATACATAACTTAAGATGTTCTCTGCTGTATGAATACAATGTGAGATTAAATTGACTAAATAGATTTAATAATGGAAGTTAATCTTAGAACACAGAGCATCGTCAATTTTACCGACGCAAGTTATTCTTTAGTTTGTACCCTCTGTCTGCTTCAGAAAATCATATATACAGTAATACCCCGCTTAACGCTGATTCGATATAATGCTGTTTGCTTGAAGCCTTAAAAGAAGCTCAAAATTTATGTTGATTTAAATTATCACGGCATTTTATTGATTTGTATATAATATGATTATTTACGAACACGAACCAATCAGAAAAAGGTGGTAAAAAGGTGTACTTTCTTTAAATCTATGTTTGTTTGGTGCAATTTTGGAGAAAATTTAACATCATGGATTCCATAGACAATATCAGCTTCGCTTGGGAAAGAATTAACTGATAAATGCACGAACGAAGTGTGTAAGAAGTTATGGCTGAAGGAATCCAAGAATTCTCAACGAGAAGAGCCTATTGCTGTATCATTAGATTGATCAAACTCAACCTAATCAATACAGCAGGACTAGAAGATGTAAACGAGCAGGATATTGAGGAGTTACCACAGGTTTCTAGTGTGTGTCTTATCAATGACGACCTTCAAGAACTGGCAGAACAAGGAATCCATGTACAACTGGAAAACAGTGATTCTGAAAACGAAGAACCCAAACAATTTCTCTACAGATTTCCTTAGTAAAAGTTTGGTAACAATAACCAAATTTGTTAATCAAATTGTAGCAAATGATCCAGATGTTGAAAGGAGTGCAAAATCAAAATGAGGCATTTTGGATGTAATCTTCCACTACTGACATTTGCTTAAGGAAAGAAGGAAGCGACAAATGAAACTTCACGACTTTATTGCAAAAGAACAAGAATTTCAGAAAAGTCAAGACCTTCATCACAAAAAATGAACTTTACATTTCTGTGTGCATATGTTTGTGTGTTATTTAACATATTATTGTACAAATTAATATAAAAATAACTTAAAATTAAAGTAAAATTTGTTTATTTTTGGTCGCGTGTTCCCCTATCCCTATTTACTCTATGTTAAAATTACCTCATTTAACACTGTTTCATTTAGCACTTTGTCATCTAGGAATGCATCCCCCGTGTTAAGCAGGGTCTTACTGTACTTATTCCTAGAAAAATAATTATTAGAGGAAAAAAATGATCATTACTACTTTGCGTGACATGCTACGAGATCATCTTGCTGCTCTTGAAGCAGAAATATTATTTATTTTATTTGGTCATTTGTAGGATACGCAAAGTAAATGAAGAGAAATGATTTCTTCGTACGTCTAAGTGAAGAGCTAACTAAATCGTGAATGAAGATGAGGTTAGAATCGCACATATTGCAGACACAACTGCACTTCATCATAGGAAATGTTTTATGGTAAACTACTGCCATTTCCAAAGAGAATCCGACATTTCAAAACAAAATAACAATTTGTCATATTTAATGTTTGAAAAACCAAGCTATTTTATTACTACATATTGCAGTTGAGGTATGCTGCAAGCAACATTGTGCAAATCAGTGTGTTAATTGCTGTAAATAAATTTTATAATAATAATTTAACATTTGAAATTGTATCAAAACTAGAATATTTCAACGAATTTGTTATAGTACTGTCGGTAGGTATTCTGAAATGAAACTAATTAATAAAATAAATTATCATAAAATTTATGATGCTTTGTGTTATTGTACTAATGTTTTATGCTTTGGGTTCTAGAGTTAATTTTAATATTGTGTTTACCTGAAAATAAGACTGGGTCTTATATTAACTTTTGCTCCAAAAGACGTATTAGGTCATATTTTTAGGGAGTGTTGCTTCCAAAGGTGTTCACTTGGGTAAATATCCAAGCATTTATACTTAATTATAATTTATATTATCATTTATTTTAAGTATTAAGGTCAATAATAATATTTATTTATATTTAATTATATATTAATATTATTATTTTATAATTTGGTCCACACAAATCACTGTTCCAACTGAATTTGAACATTTTTGATATATCGAAAATGTATTGTTTTGATATATTATTGTTTGATACATCAAAAATGTTTTAATCAGTTAGAACAGTGATTTATGTATGTTAAGAAGCTGAAGCTGTCCTAAAACCAACAAAAGCATTCCTTTGTGAAAAATTTAAACAGTTGGATACCTTAAAGTAAGCATTTTATAAAGATAATATGAAGCCAGAAACACAAGATGTAATATTTGTTAATTTTGATAGCAAAATTTCAGTAAAAATAAACTAACTAGCAAAAATACTTTTCATAAAATAATTTGCATAATATATTAATAAAAATCAGGATAGTAATTTTAAAAATAACTTAAACATGAAAATTGATTACAAAATTAAATTTTTTATAGTTTTTCTAACTGCATTATCAAGTTTATTATTTTCAGGACTTCTATCTCAAGTTGAAGAAACATTCACTTTGTTTTTTTTCTTTAGTTATTTAGAGTGCACACTATGCCTAGCCTATTCAGTATTTTCAGTATAATCATCATAATTAAATTAATATTTTAATAATTTAGAAGGTTCTGGAAGAAAAGAATTGGCTCAATGCAGGATGAGAATAACTGTCATGTTTACCCTCATACTGACTTATAAAATATATTGACTTACAAAACCAAATATTTATAGAAAAGCTTAGCAGATCTGTGTCAATAGAAATTCAGTAAAGTTAAAGTTTCAAAAGAGCTATGTTCATAGAAGAATTAATAAAAAAGTATTTTTGATTAATTGTTCAATAACATACATTTCAAAAATGTTTTTATGTTGAAATATAAATTAATATGGTATATTTTGTTTATTTTTAAAATATAAAATTCTGTTTCTATGATGATAATTACCAAGAATTAAGATTAGTATTAATATTATGTAGTATTTATCCTGTTAATTTTTTATTGTAAAAGTTTTAAATCAATTAAAATTATTTTTATAGGAAGTAGGAAGAATGAAGATGGAATTGTTTGCTGATGTTGTACCAAAAACAGCTGAAAATGTTCGGTGAGATATTTATAGTTTGAATTTTTAATATTATTTGTGTTATACAAAATTGCTGATGATTAGTAAGGATCATAAAAATTAATGTTTTGAGGTAAAAGAAATTTTACATTGTGTTATACAGTAATGTTTTATATGTATTTAAAGGTATTTGATATTTTCAAGTACTTATACTACTTTAAAGATATATTTTTAAATCTATTAATGTTTCATTTCTTTAAATTTTACTCTCCAGCAAGTATTTTTATTTGATTTTATAATTATTAATGAATGAATGAGATCATCCACATAAAGCATGGAAAATTTCTATAAAATGTCATACTACTGTGGTCCAGCATTTATTAGATTTCAAGAATGCTGAACTGCAGAATTTTAAACTTTTAATATGATATTGAATGAATTGAATAATATATGAATGATATATTCCACATTCTTTCAAAATATTATATGGGGCAGAGTCAAAAAGTAACTTTAATATGGTCCTAAGAAATGTAAATTGAGCTGTTGATTAAAGTAATGCAAATGCGATATCCTTTTCTTCATATACAGATACATGATGTGACTACATGCATAAGGTGCATATAGGCAAATATTGGACATATGGCATCATTAAACTAGAACCAAAAGGTTTGCTTTTTTGTAAACATGCTCGCGGGAGAAGTGCACAATTATTTGCTTTTCAGACAGTAAGGGTAAGAAACCTGCAGATATTCATTATAGAATGAAGAGGCAATATGAAAATGCATGCAAATTGCTTCAACAAATTAAATTACAAGTGGTGCAAAAAATATAAACATAGGGTATCAAATCTAGTTGATGCTGTTCATTCCAGTTGGCCTAGATCTACAAATACAGCAGATGCAATTGTTGAAGAGAAATAACTGGTACGTAAAAGTCATCACAATTAAACGTATTATGATTTCTTTGAAACCTGTAATCAGATCCAAATGCCATGATCTACTGTTCTGTTGTGTGCTGTATCATGACAGCACAGTCTTATGTAGCCCATGTAACAATAGAAAAATTGTAGATCTGCATTTAGAGTATCTTCCACATCTTACTTATTCACTTGAACTTGTCCTGTATAATTACCATGTGTTTGGACTAGTGATGTGCCGGATTGTTAAAAATGTATATCCGCGGATACGGATCATTAGTGTCTAGATCCACGGATACGGATACGGATCTCTACTTTCGTACTCAGTTGGCGCCGGTTTGTGTGACCTTGGACCGATAGTTGATGCTTTGCATTAATAACGCGACGTGTTTTGACTTGCACTGCGCATGTTTTTGTTTATAGTGTGAAAGTGTGCTAAATTAGAATTCACCACAAAGGCAGACAGGATAAAGTAACAAAAGTTGATATAATTTTCCAATTAAGCTATTTCGCGTCTTTATAGTGTGAAAGTGTGATAAATTAGAATTCACCACAAAGGCAGACAGGATAAAGTAACAAAAGTTGATATAATTTTCCAATTAAGCTATTTCGCGTCTTTATACAGATTCTATTTTGGGGGATTCCAACTTCACGGTGCAAACAGTAGCATGCGAAATTACAGCAATAATAATAGTTTGCTGTATCCAAAGCACGTGTACAATACAGATCCCGATCGCAAAAATATAACCTGGAACCTTAAAACTAACCTTAAACACTAACTTAACACTAATAACAGAAAAAGGGATAGAATTAAGAAGACAGAAAAAATGGTAGATATGATAGAAATAGGGATATCTGGAGTTTTGTCCCTTTTTTCGGCTTGTTTCTTTATGCGTACTATTGGGTGAGATAACACACTTCCTTCTCCTATAACTGGCCACTTCTCTTCTACAATAATTAGGATTTTTTCCTTCCACAGTCATCAATACGACCTTAAAACATGATCTTTTTTCTGAACTTATTTCTGAACTATCCGGTCATTGAAAATACGACTCCCAGTATTCTCACCTCGTCCGTACACTCTGCCGTCTGGTTTACGAATGACCTGCTACGTCACTTCTCTTTTTTCTGCGGCTCCTGCTTACACCTTTGCTCCTCAAATTTCTAGGAACTGCTCATCCCACCTAAGGGACAGGGAATAGATAAGAAAGTTCTAGAAGAAAATAGAATAGAACAAAGGGTAAGAAAGAAGAAACTAAACTAAACTAAAATTAATATTTACAAAAATATAGCGTACTGCCACAATAATTTAGTGCAGTGTTTCCCAACCTTTTTTGTGCTATGCCCCACCTAAGCCTTTCTAAAATTCTTATGTCTCCCTAACATATACAGCGGCTATATGGTTAACTTAAACTCTGGACAAGTCCATTTTCGAATTGCCCTCCTTAGCAATACGATTGTCCCCTGTGGGGCGTGGGCCCCACGTTGGGAAACACTGGTTTGTGGCTAGTGTGACACGGGATAGCGTAGATTACGTTTGTGTTTTTGGAGAGTGTTGAGTTAAATTAAAATAAAAACAATGTCGACAAAAAAGTTTAATAGTGTAATATGGAAATATTTTACGATAGTAAACGACGAATGTGCTATTGCTACCTATCTTTAAAATTTCATATAAGTAATGAAATTCATTAAGATAAAAGATCCGTTAACCCTGCGTTAGTGCACTGAGTTTTTTTTCGGCATTAGTGCAGTGGGGCGTTTGTCCACCCCGACATTTTTTTGGGTCCATAAACCATGTAAGTAAAAATTCATAAAGATTTACTCATTTATTTGGTAAAGGCATGTGTCATTATACATATGATTATATTCAGNTATTTTTTATATAATTTTCGACTTATAAAATTTTTCTGTAGTTATTCAGTGTTTATCATTTGAAATTATATGAAGATAAAAAGAATAGATGATAGTTGTAATAATTGATATTATAATCATCTAAGTTATTTAATGAAAAAAAAAAAGTTGCTAGAAATTACATCATACTAAATAAAATCACAAAGGAACTGGAGGAAGAACTTAATTAATCTAGACCATAAAATTACTCCAGCAGGTATTTTGAATAAACAAAAATGTTTTCAATCTTGCAATCTTGCATTTCTTAAATTTGTTGAAATGCTTTTGTATTTGTTGCAATACAGGCATCTTCCTCAGCAGTATCCATTTAAAGTTATGACCCTTACAAATGCAAAATAAACATTTTCAAACTAACTATGAGTTCAGAATACAATATATAAATGTGTTTAATACACAAACTGGAAAAGTATTTTTGATTTTCAAAAGACAGAATAAATGTAGAAATTTCACCAAAATGGTACATTGTCTGGGGGGAACAGAACAAAAAACATTATTGTCCCCTTTCAAAACAGTACATATGGTTAGTCTGGATATGTTGTAATCTGTTGGAAAGCCATTAAAAAGTATTGAGTTATGATTTGAAAAAATCATAACACAATGTTTAAATTACTTTTGAACGTTGGTATATTGTATTGATTAAATTAAAATTGTTCTGTAGGATCTGATGCTGAGACAGTTGTCTCAAAAAAAAAAAAAAACATTTTATCTTACAATGTAAATAGGACTTTTTAACTTAGAGCAGTGTTTCTTAACCTTTTTTGACCTTTAGTTCCTTTTGAGTTGAATATTTTTCTGCAGCACTCATAATAGTAGCAGAAGGAAAAATTCAATTACACTTTTAAATATTACAAAATGTGTTTTTAGTTAAAATAATTATAACACAATGTTAAATTGGATAACTTTCAAACTTTAAATTCAAAACGTGTGTACATACAATATTATCAATACTACATGTAATTATTATTTTTTAAAATACTTAAGTTCAGCTCCACACTCAATTTTGCACCAATTTCAGAGGTAAACAATTGATGGAGTTAAATTGAAGTTTCACAGTATAGGCACTCTATTCATTTATAAGCAATAGGGCTATATATTAATAATAGATATCCTTTGGAAAAAAATGAAAATGAAATGCTTTGCATACACATAAATGAAGACGTAGAATCTCACACAAGAAACAAATGTATGTTGTATGNTCATGAAGCTACTGAAAAGGATACAAATATTTCTTGCGAAATCTATGAATAGTGCAACTTTTAAAACGTTGGGGGTGGCGAAACACCCCACTGCATTACTCCAGGGTTAAAGATCCGCTAAAAAGTAACGGATACGGATACGGATATCCGGCACATCACTAGTTTGGACTTTTCAAGGAGGCACTAGGTTGGACAAAGCTCAACCCAAAGGACCATATTAATTAAACAGGCTATGTATAAGTGACAATGTAATAAGTTAGATTCCTGAGAAATTTAGGTCTTAGTGAAGCAATGGTAAATGTTCATTAAGTATGATGGAGACTTGTGATAAAGTGACATATTTGTTCCAATCCTATTTTTACATATCAGAAAAATAAAGAATATTAAAGTTACTTTTGACTCATGTATGATTTAGTAAACACTATATGTCAAGTGAACTGTTATTAAGTTTTTTACTATTCACAGACGAGCAATGGGGATATATTTTTCAAACTATAATTTGAAGTTGATGATTTTAAAATTAAGATAAAATTTTAATTTATTTTATCATTTAAGTAGTGTCAATCACATTATTTATCATCTGTTATANATATATATTGGGTTGTTTGGAAAGTAATTTTGTTTTTTTACCACCAGAGGAATTAGTTGTATTCTTATCTAGCAATTTTAAACCATATTGTCATTATATATTTTGACAACTGATATTTCAAGCTTATTTGTAAAAAAATTTGATTGATTCTGTGCATTTTTTTTTCTGTCTTTCCAAATATGGAAAATTGAAAGCAGCACTTTTGGCATATTTTGCTTTTTTTATTACCAAAAAAGTAAAAATGCTATTCAAGCAAAAAAAAAAATTGTGTGTTGTGTATGGAGAAGATTTGTTGACAGAACGACAGTGCCAAAACTGGTTCACAAAATTTTGTTCTAGCAATTTCAGTATTGAAGATGCACCATATTCTGGAAGGCTAGTTGAAGTTGATGAAGACAAAATAAGGTATTGATTGAAGCAAACTGCCAAATAACAACAAGAGAAATTGCTAAGAGATTATATTTGTCAAATTGAACCATTTATGATCACTTGAAATGACTTGGTTTCGTTTCAAAGCTCAATATATGGGTTCCATATGTTCTTAAAGAAAGAGATTTCAAGAGAAAGAAATTGCATTCTTTGGTAGGAATTTAAGGGAATTTTTTTTTTGAGCACTTCTACCAGACAATTTCACAATTGATTTGAACGTGTACTGCCATCAAATGGATAAATTGAGTGATACCATCAAATAGAAAAGGCCAGAATTGATCAACAGAAAAGGTGTAGTGTTTCACCATGATAATGCCAGATCTCACACAAGTTTGGTAACTCGTCAGAAGCTGTTACAGCTTGGATGGGATGTGCTACCACATCCACCATATTCACCAGATCTGGCACCCTCAGATTATTACTTGTTCTGTTCTTTACAAAACTTTTTAAACAGTGAAACATTTACTTCAAATGAAGATGTCAAAAATCACTTCAATAAGTTTTTTTGTAAGCAAAGATCAAAATTTTTATGAGCATGGAGTCATGCTACTACCAGAAAGATGGCAACAGGTATCTGACCAAAATGGTCAATATATAATTCAATAAAATATTTATATATTATATGAAAATTGTTTTTTTCCCCACAAAAAAATGAAATTACTTTCCAAACAACCCAATAACAAAAAGCTTAGTTAAAGAGGGGGGGAAAAATATATATATATATATATTTCTATAGCTAAGTTTTTATATGGAAANGTTCCTTGTAAACAAATTCTTAATTCAAAATTTTGAACATTCTGGTGTCATTAAACATTCTTCTTGATAAAAAATTCTATGTTTATCTTTACATATTGATTACAGATACATTAAGTTAATTTAATAAAAACTTATTTTTCATTATATTTGTTATTTTATCAGACAATTTTGTACTGGTGAATATAAAAAAGATGGAGTTCCAATTGGATATAAAAGTTCAATTTTTCATAGGTATGTTAATAAATAAATTTTTATAATTTATTTTAATTACTGTAATGTTTACTTACCATATATGTCAGTGTATAAGTTGACTCAAGATTTTTAGCTCAAAATTCTGGGTTTATACCTGTTGCATAAGTTTACACCCAGACGTATGATAAACTATTTGTAGGCTAGATCTGAAATGTGTATATACTCCACAATAACTTGCGTGGTAAAAGCATATAATAAGACCACAGTACTTTCATTGAGACACTAAGTGTAATACAGTAGCTTTTAATATATTATATAACTAATACAAAAAGGGCTGAAGCAACAGAACCTATATAGGAAACCAAGAATCTACTAAAAATTTTCAGTAAGTTATCTTGGTGAGAACTCTGTTATGTATCAGGTCTATTGGTATACAAATTCAACCAAAAATCAACACTGATAATAAAATATTAACAATTTACATAACATAGTACTATGACAATAACACTACATATGGCATATTATAGTAGAACATTGTAACATTCTTTTGCTTAGCATTCTGATATAGTCAGTACATATGTACAGATATAGAAACAATGTGGGATGTAATGTTCATTTATACTGAATTTTCATTGCTTTTATAAATCTTTATAATGAAACAAGTTCATTAAATACAAGTTTTAGGTGGAAGCATTTGTAGCAGTCTGTTGGAGTTAGTATAAGTGGTATGCAGATTTACTTGCTTATCACTCTGTGATAAATGTCTACTTTTATACTGACAGTATAAGTTGATTACTGGTTTTGTAGAGATTTTTTTTATAATGTTGAGTTAGACACCATTATATACAATATGTACAGTACTCGATAAAATTTTAACTACAAAATATGATTCAAAATATAAAATATTTTATATTTTTTATATTTTGAATCATATAAAAAAATTTCCAAACTGAGTAAAACAGAAAACAAATTTATTTATTAGTGTCACAGTACCATTGATTGAATATTATATTAATTATATTATTCTTCAAATTATTTTCTATCCATAATAAATATCATTACTATCTTTCAACTCTTTGAGTTTTTTTAATATTTATTTATTACTAGCATCCCCGTCGCAGCCTGCCCGCTCTTATATACATATAGAACTTAGAAAATTTGAACTAATTGTTCATTAATTATTTTTGAGTGATCAATGTGTACTATTGCAGTAGAGTTTTGCAAAATATAAAAAAATAAAATCATAAAACTTCTGAATAAGTTATATTGATGTGAAACCTAAAAAATTCCTCACTACACGCATTCGATTCTGAGCCGAATGAATTTGTTGCCCTTCCAGTCTTTACTGTAGAAGTGTAGATGCACCTGCAGAAACGATTCGAAAACCCGCCATAAGTACTGTACACATATGGCCATCTAGCGTGATCACGTCACTTTTTTAATTCCTCAAAGACTTTGCTAATTAACTAATTATAATTTAATGTCAGTTCTTCAAATATAATAATAAACTTCAATAATAGACTTTTCTTATAGACAGCGTGTGTCACCATCTAGTGAAGAGAGAGAGAAATAGACAAAAATCTGTTGCAGTTTTATTTAATTAATAAAAAATCTGTAGGTTTGATTAATGGTAAACATTCCAGGGATCATAAAGATGCTACAGTTAAAGTTTGGTAACGATTGGTTCAGTAGTTTTCACAGTTAGTGGTCACAAACGAAAAATACGTTGTCTCTTTATATAGTAGTATAGATAATATTTCAATTTTCTACAGTAATATAGTGGAATATTCTTAATGGGTTCATTGTTTTTCTTTTGTTGTAATATAGCTATGATATATTAAACTATCTTTCACAAATGCTTCAATAATACTTATGTACAATAGAATCTGCTAATGTAATCATGGATGTTGTTTAGTTGTCTGATGTTTTCAGAGTTAATATGCTATAAAACATAATTAAAATACATTTATAAAACTTAACTATAACTAAATGTCCAATTACAATAAGTAAATATTATCTTTAGATAGGCATTTTTAAAGTTGTCTTCTCATGTTATCAATCTCAAAACATACAGCATGCTGATAACATGCAATTGTTAACAGTTATCAGTTTTATCCAAAGCTTTAAACATTAATCATTTTAATATTATTTATTCATATTACTATGTCTTAAATTATTGGTATTTCTTTCTCAGTTATACAATATTTATTAATGACAGTACAAAGATGCAAATAACAAAAAGCATTTATTCTGGCAGAGTAAACACTAGTATTGTGTTGTATTCCAAAGACACACGGCAAGTTTTCCATCAAATATCTTTATTAATTGAGTCGAAACAGGTTGAGTTTTAATTAGTTGAGAGGAAACAGGACACTGTTTCAAAAAACAAATCAAAAAGCATTTAATCAACTAACATTGAAAAAATATATAAAATTAAGTGATTATTGAGTTTTTTTGAAATTTATGGATGTCACTATTTTCAAAACTGACTCATTTGTCAACATCAACAGAGAGACTTTTTAATACTTGATTGCTTCTTGTTCTTTCTTTTGTTTTTTGGGAGTAAGTATTGCTTAGTAGAACTTATCACATAGGAATACTATTAGATGAATAGACTTTATTTTGACTTGTTGTATTCATTTTAAGGTTTTGTGTTTTTGTATATTATTTTTTAGCAAGTTTTAACATTTATGTTTTACAGTTTTTCTAGTTTTACCCCCATTTTACCCTGTTGTTTTATATATTTCATTGTTCCAGCAGTCACATGTAAATATTATTTCAGTTTTAACAATTGTACAATATGGACTGAAAAGGGGCAAACAGCTCAAAATGCATATTTGTTTTAAAGTCTATGTTATTCATCTAATAGTGTCCCTGTGTGATAAGTTCTATTTAGCAATTTTGTGCTTACTTAAGAGATTTTTTAAAACAATTTGTGCTCTCAAAAATTATTATTGATATCATTGCCAAATTTTTTCTTGACTTCATTTTTTATTTTCTTTTTATTTTAGCACAAAATACTAAATAACTACTACAATATTAAAACAAATATTGTTTAAGATTTTGAATAAATAAAGCAAGTTATAACCTATTGATTTAACTTACTTCATTCATAACGAATGGAGTAAGTTGTGCATGTGAAGCTCAACAAAGCCACTATAATCTAATGTTTCCAGTATACTGACCACCTCAGAGGTCTGAAAGCACTTGAAATTCACTAATGTGACATTAAAGGCATGTGCATAAATTTAAAAAAAAAATCTATTATATGCAAGGCAGAATTTTTATGAAAAGCCTGGATAATTCAATTATAGTTTAATATGCAAACATGCAGTTGTATCATTTTGAGTTTTTAGCATATTCTATTAATTTTTTATTTCTTATGTTTGTTAATACAGTCTATTTTAATGTATCATTATTTGTATAGTTTTTTTACACTGTAGGGGAAATTATATAATAAGTTTCAATTTTGTATCTCATTCTTGTAAGCATTCCATGTTTAGAACATTTTGACCTGAAGAAGATCTAATTAGGATCTAAAGCATTTTTCAGTGTATATACTATGTACTATAAAATCCAGTATAACATTTAATCAAATAATGAGAAATATAAAGCATTTTTCGGTGTATATACTATATATTTCTTATTATTTGATTAAATGTTGTACTGGATTTTAAAGGTATTTGTGGTGTTATCTTGATTCACAATGAAGGTATGTTTTAATTATATACTGTACTAAGCTATGCCCTCTTATAGTAAAGTATGTAATCCTGAGTTAATCTGATGATGTAATTTCAAATACTGTTTAAAAAGTAAGAATTGCTCTGAAAATATTTTCAGCATATTTTATTTAAACTTCAATATGATTGATTATACAAACAGAAAATAAATAATCCAGGAAGAGAACAAGTGTTTAATTCTAGAAAAAAAAAAAAAAGATAGCAAATTCTTAATTCTCCATGCTGTACTTCATATACTAAATTAACAGAGCATATTAATTTATTATTGAAATAAATAATTTTATTTTGCCTTAGATAAGAAAAATGTTTTCTAATATTAATAAATTAGACAGTTACTTTCATATGATTTAAATATATGTAAAGATTATATTTTTATTTCTGTAAATAATTGCTTAAAAGTCGAATTTATTTTCAATTAAATATTTTAATTATGTATAATATCCAATTTTGAAAAGATTTTTTTTTTCTTTCTTTAAGACAATTTTTTCTAAAAAAAAAATATTTTAAAAGTTTCTTTTAATTATTAATAAAAAATTATTTCTATTTATTTATGATTTATTATATTATATTTTTAATAGTCTTATTTTTAAAATATTTATTTTTTAGAGTTATCAAGGATTTTATGATCCAAGGTGGAGATTTTGTTAATGTATGTATTTGACAGTTTATATGAATAAACTATATTTTGTTAAAGTATATATTTATAAGTGAATTTATTCTTTTAATTTGATATTTATTTTTGCATAATTAAAATTATTATCTGAACTTTTCAGTAAAGACATTAGAAATTATATCAGTGAATTTACATTGCTATAAACCCAAACATCTAATTATTATTTAATAATAATAAATTTGCTTTTTATTTAAATAGTTTCTATATTTTAAACATTTAAAACATAGAAATTTTGAATTAACAGTTTGTTTAAATTATGCATTCATACATAATATAATAATTAATTATTTTTAACATTTACTCTTATCTTTAATTCAATATTAATAAATTTGTAATAGCTGATTTATTTTAAATCCAATTTGCTTTGTTAATCAGAAAAATTTTTCGACAAATCTCTTCCTAATTTGATTTTTAATATTATTTTTTAGCATATTTTTATGTATTATAAAAATATCTTTTGTATAACCATTTTAATATATATATATAAATGAGGATGTTTGTTTGCTATGCATGCCTGTTCCATTTGACCAATTGCTATGAAACTCGGCAGTTATGTTCAAATATTTTCAACTGAAAATATTAATTGTATTTCTATATATTAATTAATTTCTGTTTATATTTGATTGCTGTCTTTACATGTAGCACTATTATTGGAAAAAAAATTAACAAAATAACTAACTAAATATAATTCTTACAAAAAAGAATATAATTTTAAAAAATATATATTATGTTCACTGAATTACTGCAGCACTGATAATGATGTGGTGTGAAATAGATGTGCCATTACACCATTACTGCAACAGGTACATAGCACTTGCTGCATTCAGTATAGCAGTGTTTTGCTCTTGTACATCATACTTTTCCTGTTAGCAATAGATTCATGCCAGTTATGTATCTAACTCTGTTTGAGGAAAAATTTTTGAATTGAAATAATGTGACTTGCAGTACAAATTGAAAGTTCATATATAACTATATATGAATCTAGTCCTTTTTCTCTTACGATTTATGTCTGGTCTCAACTTTCATCTATCTAACTCCTTTCTCAAGATTAAGAAGCGACAGTAATAGATGGACGACAGTGGGAATTTATTGGTCTGCAATTTTTTCAAATTGCAGCCTAATGAATACCCTTCAGTAATCAAATGGATAAAAGCATCGAACACCGATAGTCAGTTGTGGGTTTGCACACAACTATGTGGAATTTTCTGGTTTCTTTGTTTTAATAACACTTGACTTGGGGCCATCTTTACATAAAAGTCTTTCTGGGATGCATCCTCCTTGGCAGATCACTCATGTTGCATTTCCATAACCAAATTCACCAAAGTAATTCTAATAATTTTTCTATAAATGCAATATTTTTGAGGACATGCTTAACTACTGGGAAACTGGACATCCTGTCTCCTCCCCTGATTTCATCTCCTTAGTAACTCATAAATCCATTGTCCCAAACTTCTTTCACTGATACTGCTTAAAGATGTTCTAATGTTCAACCACATTAATGCACAGTACATGCAACAATTTTAAGGCACAAAGTAGAGCTGGAAGTCTTTTTCTGTGCAGATGTCTATTTTTCCTATTTATTTTCATGGCAATGTTGCTTCATTCAAAATTTCCTGTGACACCTTACACAGATTACATAGTCTGTGTAATGTGTATTTTATTCACATGTTAAATCTTACTGTCAAATTTACTTTCACAAAATTATGGCATAATTCTCAAAACTTTCTTTTACTTGGATGTTTTTGCTAAGCTTTACTTTTTCAACCTGGTTTTACCAGTTTTTTACAGGATCACATAAAAGTAATTATTCTCACATTTTTACAAGATTTTTTTATTTATACAAGTTTTATATGAAGTCTTTCAGGCATTAAGGTTAGCAACTTCAATCACATGGCCATCACAACCTATCCAACACAGATCACTTTTCAAATATTAATAGTAGACCAGTATTAATTAGTAGTCATTGACCATCTTCTCTCCCAAGAGGAGGACAGCTATTACTTTTGGTCAGATTAACTTCAACCTTCATCTGCAACAGTCCCTTCTTCCTATCGGACCCACCAGTACGGTGGCATTCGAATAGGAAAATTACATAATATAATACGAGGTTACCAGCAAGCTCAAAATATGATTTAAGTGGTTTCTGAGGATGCTGAGTTTAAATATTTTGTCTATTTTTTGAGAAATTTGATTCATTGGCAGATCACCATTTGACATTCGGTTGTGAATGAAACAGTTTGTTAGTGTTAACATCAGAGAAAAAATACGATATCTTAAATTTTTTAAGATATTGTATTTTTAATTGGTGTATACCTAACCAAAAAAATTGTTCCATTTCGTACCATTTGAGTATCACAATAAACATGACAACAGTAGGCTAAAATAACCAAACTCTTTATATGGTTTTTGTTTTATTGTATTTGATTTATATAACTACAAAGGTTATCTTACATAAGGGTTTATATAACACCAAATGATTACCCTAACACATTTTTAAAATTTTCTTCCCTTACTGTACACAATTTAAAGAATTTTCAAAATGAGTTAGATTAGTCACTTAATGTGATAAAGTCTTATAAAAGATAACGTTTGCAGTTATATAAATCAAATACTATAATATAATATAATATAATAGGATTAGAAGTACAAAATAATTTAATAATCTTAATCTTTGCTGCTGTTATTTTTTGACTGAGCAATCCGGGCTTACCTGCTAGTAAATTTATAAAAATGTTTATTTTTATATTAATTATCAATTAAATTTACTTTCACATTTTATCAAATGTTAAAATTATATACAGTAAAAGTATAGCTGTTTATTTTTAATTTTAATAAAATAATGAAATCAGTAGTTTGCTAGATTAACTTTAGAATTAATGTAATTTAGCATACTAAAATTAAGAACTTTACATTAACTTTGATTCAGAAATCCAGTAGTTTTATTACAAAGTGGAATTACTTTATAGTTTAACACTTCATATTATTGTATAATAATAATACCTTTTTATTCAGAATAATTTTTAAAATATTTCTGTTAGTAACAAAAACAATAAACAAATTAAACAATTACCTACCTTGATTATGTTTGTAGGATCAGTTTGGAATGTGCAGTAATAATAACTATGTTAATTAATATAAAACCAATATAAAATTGTATCTTATCGTATTTTTATTTAAGATATGTTTTAGATTATTATTGATACAATAATTTAATTGATGAAATTACTCAAAAGAAATTATTCCATCTGTAATTTTATATCTTCTGCATGATTTTTTACATTAATCAAGCTCATAAAATGTAATACAAAAAAATGGTGATACTGCAATACATTTTTCAAATATCATTTATTTAATTACTAAATTTAACAATTATCAACAAATATAGTCTATTAATCATTGCATTAGGAATATTTATAATAATCATATAAATAATTACAACAAAAATTATTTTAAATAATAATTAACTACTTGAATTTTGTTTAATTTTATATGTTTTTAATAAATGCTTACACTATTCTAAGCATACCAGTGTGCTGTTGATTTCTTTCTATGCTTTTTGTTACTTATTGTTTTTAGTCTGATAATGATATACAGGGTTATTCATAGATCTGTAAAATGTTTTAAAAATTTAATATTTATAACGAAACAACAGAGAGTATATTTTTTAGCATTAAAATAACAGTAAACTCTCCAAGATTTTTCAGGAATAGTGCATACTTGTCATGGTTTATTGCTAGGAAGCAATAGTAGCAAATATGGCACTAATCAAATGACAGTAATGATTACATTTTTCAACAAGATGGCTGTCTGGCTCGTTACCATCACCACAATGATATGTCAATGCTAGATAGGAAGCATCAAACAAAATGGTAATTTTTTTCATGCATTGGCCACTCCAGAGACTGTAGTGGCCAATGCATGAAAGGATGCTGTCTTTGTTCCCCCATTCCCTCTAATCTCCAGGAACTGCATGACTGTATCATTGTGGTTGTGGCATTGGTTGACTGTGATGTGGGAGGTAATGGATTATTGGCTAGATGTCTGTTGCATCAGCAAAGGTGGACACATTGAATATTTGTGACCCATGTAAAAAAATCTTGGCATGTCATTTTATTTCAATGTTAAAAAATGTAGTATCTATTGTGTAATTTATGAATAATAAGTTTTTAAAATGTTTCACAGACGTATGAATAACTCTGTATAATAAGATGCATAAAAAGAGATGCAAACTTTGCAAATTCATCAGTAACAGGGTTATCTGACAATAAATTACACATTGTATTAGAACCTATAGAAAGTTTAGAAATTTAAAAGGATGATTTTACCAGTATTACCAGTTTCAAGTAATTTAAATAAAAGCTAAAAATAAAATTAAGATTTATGAATAACTAATCTTAGAACTTTAAAATGTTTTATTTTTTTAAATAGGGTGATGGCACTGGAGTTATAAGTATATATGGAGGTAGTACATTTCCAGATGAAAATTTCAAATTAAAACATGATGCACCTGGTCTGTTGTCAATGGTAATTAATTTTTTTATTCAATAAATTTTTATAGTTAAATTTTTTTCCAATTTAACCGGCAAAAATCATTATTTATTTGAATATGTATAACATAAACAACCTGATTATGATTAACTAATTAAGCAACAAAAACTATCAGATTGCTAACTAAAATATTTACTACTTTCATTAAATGAAGCTTAATTAATAATTCAGGAGGTTTTTGTTTGGCTAATTATCTATTAATTATCATATTATATTATGAATTTGTTATTTTTGTACTTATCTTGAAAAAAATCTTATTTTAATGTTGGATATAAATAAAATATTGATATAAATTTGTTGTTGAGTATAAACTAATAATTATTTTTTTATAAAAGTAACATGTAATTTTTGTAAATATAAAAAAAATGAAAATATATAATTAAAATATATTCATTTTTAATTACAAAGAAAAATATATTTGAATATATTACAGGCAGATATAATTAATTATATGTTAATAGGTTTTATTGTTTTATTTTTTTAAGTTAATGATAAATAGAAAAATTTCAAAGTTTATAAAATTGTGTATTAAGAGTATTGTACAGATACAAGGTTGTAGGAAATGTCAGTGAATATTTATTGAGTAAATAAACAGAAAATCCTTAAAATTTTATTTAGCATTTGAAAGTTTTCTGAACATGATAAAAAAAAATTAGGATAAAAATAAATTTAGAATATGGTAATAAAACTACAAAAAACACCATGATGATGATGATAGAAATTTAATTACTGTATAATTTATGAACATGCATATGTCAAATTGCTTCTCTTTTCCAATTAGAATGATATAAGAAATAAGTTATGTTAAAAATCTATTACAGTAGAACCTCGATTATCCGGACTAATTGGGGATGAAGGTAGTCCGGATAAGGAAAAATCCGGATAATCGAAACAAATACTTTAATTTGTCTTTTAATGATAATACAACACGTTTTCTTTTCGATGACATATCAGTAATATTAAAAGTAAATAATGTATTTAAATCGTGATCAAATTTTCAAGAAACAGACGTTCGTATTGAATTTGGACTACTACTGACCAACGCTAACAGACTACCTATTGTTTAAAAAGCCCTCTGGTGGCGCAAGAAGATGGATTTTATAAAATAAAAAGCAGTTGAAACTGCATTTTTATGAATAAAAATTTGACAAACTATTTATTGTTTCATGACGAGTAAAATTTTTTCGTCGCGTTCGTGGCTTTTAAGTAATGCATAAACCTTCGAGGCGAGGCCCTTCGGACCGCGAGGCACAGGCTGTGGCCCACGTCGTCCATGCCTTATGCCGCCCTTGGTCATAAAAATGATGTAATTTGAATATAAATTATTTATAAATACGTATGTCAAGTTATATTTTTATTACTACGTAAAATATATTTAAGAGTTTACGGCCACTGTGCCTGGTGAGACGTTGTTGAAACAAAAAATGTTATGCACTCCATCACGTACATAAACAGTATCGTAATTCGCCAAGTGCAAATCAGCAAATTCGTAAAATTTTTGTTTATTTTGAACAATCCGGATAATCGAAAATCCGGATAATGGAGGTCCGGATAATGGAGGTTCTACTGTAATTGCAAAAACAAAGAACTTTATTAAAAGATAGGCATATGTAAACTATAGTTGGTATGTGATGATAAACAAAATTTCAAGTAGCAAAGAATGTAAAAATCCTATGTGCAGAAAGCAAAGGTCATCCACACTTTTTAATTATTGTTGAGCCCAAGCGTATTTATTATATTTTTTAACAATTTATTATTGTGCATTAAATAAGTAATTGCTTTGCTGAATCTAGATAAATAAACTGTAGATTATCATAAACAGTACACACACAAGAAAAGCCAATGCTATATACTGTCCATGTATAAGTGAAGAGTTAAACTGAAAATTAGAATATGTGCTAATGAAAATCAGAATAGAAACCAAAAATGCAGAACACATATGTAAAAATGTAATATTGTAATTATAAATACTATTCAGTTGTTGATGTAATTGGTTGGGTAGCACTTCTAAATTCTAAATTTAATGCTACATTACTACCAATAGAGAATATCTTCCATTTTGTATGCAGGGGTACTGTGTAAATAAATCGCTGGAAATACAGACAAAACATGCAGGGGTACTGTGTCCAATCGCTGGAAATACAGACAAAACATGGAATACACAAAAATTGGACAGTAATTTTTACTCCCAAAAAGTGATTGTGTCTACATAAATTATGACATGTGGTAATCCTACTTTATGTTGATGCTGACATACAAAAGATTATTAGTATTATTGTACAAACAAACAATTAATTAACAGTAAAATGAATGTATTTATTAACTCATAAGATAATTTCTATATAAAAACTTTGTGGCTTTCCTGGTAACATCAAGCAAAACTAATGTATTATATTTTGAAAATATAACTCTGTTAGTATGCAGTTTTTTTTTATAAACTAGTTTGTTTTTGCAATAATTAAACGATATGGAATAATATTTTAATTAAAAAGAACAGTTTGATTACACAGATTTAAAAGTTAGAAATTGATAACTACTATATTTACTCTGTTTTGTTATAGTGTTATAAATCTACAACTTTTAAATGATAGTGTTTAAAGACTTAAAATGTCAATAATTACAAAGGAAATTGCCTAATTAAATTATTTAAAACACATGAATAAATATATATGTGTGTTTTAAATAAATTTTAAAATAGTTTTTCTATATACTAGGTTAAAAAATTACTAATATTAATAGAATGAATAAATAAAATATATCTTCTATTATCTTCTTTTGAATATCATAATAATTGAATTTATACAATGCTGTAAGATAATTTAATTAGGCAATTTTACTTGTAATTACTAATATAAAAACATTTACATTTATTATCAAAAAACAAAGTAGTAATACATTTTTCTGAAAAATAAATTGAAATACGTTATTATTTTTGATTTTCTAAAGATATATGAGAAAAATTTTACTGTTTAACATACATACATTTATAAAAAAATTTTGTCAATGAAAATTTTTTTATGCAAATAAATTGCAAAGTATGTAATACTTTTAGCCATAAAAATTATTTAATAAATTAATTTTTAACTTAGAAATGAGAAAAGTGAATAGTTTTCCTACTTGATGTATTATATTTATCCTTAATTTTTCTACTTACTAATTATAATGTACAGCCAGTATATTCATAAACTTTTATTTTTTGTTGAGATTTTGTAAATATCTGGAACACTTGAATGTGCTTTTTATTATTATTAAAAGTTTGACACACATTAAGACTATTGTTGCAAGTCTGTTTAGTTTTTTGTTTAGTTATTAGTTTTGTATATTATGAATTAAATTGTTATTCAATAACAGCTAAAATGTTCTAAAGTATATGTTTAGCTTTTGATATGCAATATATATAAAGTCATTCTGCCCATTGGGCACTAAGAGGGCCCTCTTTCATACTCATCTCTTCAGTCAGGCCCATAACAGAGGTAGCTAGGACCCAATTTATCTGAGACCAACCACCCATGAATAATTTCTGGACAGCTGCTCACCTGGATTTGATCCCAAGTCCCACAGTATCATAGGCTGACACCTTAGCCATCTCAATCATCTGACCATCCTAACAATACATTTAAACTCATTGTACTATTGCTAAAAATACTTCTGTTTATTATCTTAAAATACATATGCATTTATTCAAAGGGTTAATTAATGTTAAACCTGAAATGGCTACAGATTTACTAAATATGTTTATTCTTTTATATAAATGTTTATTAGAAAAAAGTGAATTTACCTACTTTTAAATTCAAATCCAATTAAAGACTTTTTTTTAATATTTTGTTTGAATATTNCATACATACATTTATAAAAAAATTTTGTCAATGAAAATTTTTTTATGCAAATAAATTGCAAAGTATGTAATACTTTTAGCCATAAAAATTATTTAATAAATTAATTTTTAACTTAGAAATGAGAAAAGTGAATAGTTTTCCTACTTGATGTATTATATTTATCCTTAATTTTTCTACTTACTAATTATAATGTACAGCCAGTATATTCATAAACTTTTATTTTTTGTTGAGATTTTGTAAATATCTGGAACACTTGAATGTGCTTTTTATTATTATTAAAAGTTTGACACACATTAAGACTATTGTTGCAAGTCTGTTTAGTTTTTTGTTTAGTTATTAGTTTTGTATATTATGAATTAAATTGTTATTCAATAACAGCTAAAATGTTCTAAAGTATATGTTTAGCTTTTGATATGCAATATATATAAAGTCATTCTGCCCATTGGGCACTAAGAGGGCCCTCTTTCATACTCATCTCTTCAGTCAGGCCCATAACAGAGGTAGCTAGGACCCAATTTATCTGAGACCAACCACCCATGAATAATTTCTGGACAGCTGCTCACCTGGATTTGATCCCAAGTCCCACAGTATCATAGGCTGACACCTTAGCCATCTCAATCATCTGACCATCCTAACAATACATTTAAACTCATTGTACTATTGCTAAAAATACTTCTGTTTATTATCTTAAAATACATATGCATTTATTCAAAGGGTTAATTAATGTTAAACCTGAAATGGCTACAGATTTACTAAATATGTTTATTCTTTTATATAAATGTTTATTAGAAAAAAGTGAATTTACCTACTTTTAAATTCAAATCCAATTAAAGACTTTTTTTTAATATTTTGTTTGAATATTGTATTATGATATTATTCCTTAATTTTTCAGAATTAAGTTAAAGATATCTTTCTAAATTAATTAGTAATTTATTATTTAATTATACAGTAATTTAATCAAATATTTTATGACTTTTTAATATCGGATTATAAACAATATTTAAAAAATAAATTAATAAACNACTATGATATTTTCTAGAACATTAATCTGAACTGCTGTATTGGAGCAATCATTTATAACACCATAAAATAAAATATATTAATTCAAACTGGACTTCTTTATTTAGGAAACCCATCGTAAAGAGATGAGATTTATTATAACAATTTGAATGAATTGCTACAATTGTTATAGCTATCTACAGGTTTAAAATGCTATTTTGAAAATTTAAATTGCCAGTTTAATAAAATTAACATTTGACAATAAATATAACTCTCAAAATTATATACAATTATAATTGATCTTATTCCATTCTAATTAAAAATTATGTTTACGTATAGATTAGATAACTTTTTATTCGATGAGGATTGCACTAGACATGCGTAGGATAGAATGTTATAATAAAGATTAACAACCAATAAGTCAAAATATTCATTTGTTTTTAGTACTACTATCTTTGTAATTGAATATTCACATCTTTTTTTGCATTTTCGTTTATGTATTCAATGCGTACTTTGTTTTTTTTTAAATATTTATTCAGTGAACAAGAAACAAGATTGTAAAACAAATGATACAAATCAATAAGAATAATTAAAACCAGAATTAAAAAAATTGATTTTTAAGTTTAATAATGATTTTCATATCAGAATACAAAGGATTGATTATAAATTTTTATTATAGCACTTAAATTAATTAAATCAAAAATTTTAATTGTCTTGGCAATGAAGTCAGTGCAAAGTAGGTTAACATTAATGATATTTTATTTCATTTTAATTCGTATGTTTACTTTGGCAACTCATTATTCTAGAGATTTTTAAATTCAAAATCAAGCTTTCTGTAATTTAATATGTATAAGGGGTATCCACATTATTGTATTTAAATAAAGTTAACAATTCTTTTTATTATTAGTTATTTATTTTATGTTATTTTTCTGAGATAATTTATGTAAAACTTGAATAAATAGTGTCTCTAAAGAAATTTTTATAAAAATATAATTTCATATTTTATAAACAAGCTTTTGTAAGAAAAAACTTAAAAAATAAATTGATATATTAAAGGAAATTTAATATTAGTATTACTTTTGTTGAATAATTATCTAGATGTTATAATAACTATGATATTTTCTAGAACATTAATCTGAACTGCTGTATTGGAGCAATCATTTATAACACCATAAAATAAAATATATTAATTCAAACTGGACTTCTTTATTTAGGAAACCCATCGTAAAGAGATGAGATTTATTATAACAATTTGAATGAATTGCTACAATTGTTATAGCTATCTACAGGTTTAAAATGCTATTTTGAAAATTTAAATTGCCAGTTTAATAAAATTAACATTTGACAATAAATATAACTCTCAAAATTATATACAATTATAATTGATCTTATTCCATTCTAATTAAAAATTATGTTTACGTATAGATTAGATAACTTTTTATTCGATGAGGATTGCACTAGACATGCGTAGGATAGAATGTTATAATAAAGATTAACAACCAATAAGTCAAAATATTCATTTGTTTTTAGTACTACTATCTTTGTAATTGAATATTCACATCTTTTTTTGCATTTTCGTTTATGTATTCAATGCGTACTTTGTTTTTTTTTAAATATTTATTCAGTGAACAAGAAACAAGATTGTAAAACAAATGATACAAATCAATAAGAATAATTAAAACCAGAATTAAAAAAATTAAAGTAGACACCACAATAAAAGAAATCTAGAATAAATAAAGAAAATTATACAATTTTACAATTGCAGAAGCTGCAATTTTTGATATATTTTGTTACTCTCTTAATAAAAGCAGTGATTTCCTCATACATGAAATTAATTAAAATTAATATCAATAAACCTTAAATCCAGTAAAACTACAACATTTAATAAGTGAATTTATCAGAAATATTTATAAAGTAGCTAACTGAGTAGCTTTTACTTGCAAGTTCATCATTCCTCATTTATTATATTAAATATATTATAAATCATTGTAAGCAGTATACAAATTTGGATACAAAAAATAATTCTTGGGTTAAGAATAAAATCTAAATATTGAGATATTCAAATTTTTATAAGTTATTTAATCATTAGTAAAGTAAATCAAGAAACAGCTATAAACATTCATATATTCAAAATTTAGTATAACAATAAATTACAGTATCTATAAGAAAAACAAGTATAATATAAAATAGGTGATTCTAAGTGTAGGAATTGAAAAAATGTTTATTTTTTAACATATTTGAGAACCTCTTATTCCCAACATAATAAAGTTTAATAATGATTGAATAACTATGAATTGATGAAACTCAAACATATACGCATATAACATATATAGTACATATAAAACTTAGAACTAACAAGTTTGTATGACTTGGAGACTGTTTCTCCGGTTATATAAAGTGTATTGAATGACACAAATTTTCAAAAATTTTAAAATATGATGATTTAGGTTAAAATAGGAGGCTTAAAACCTAAGCTTTTTATTTTATATTGTTGTGACAATAGAGTTCTGTATAAATATAATCTAGAGAAATCAAAATTGCATTTATAAAAGAAATTTAGTTGTTTTTATGTTCTAAAATATTTTCAAAGTGCATATTTTTAATATTTTTAGAGAGATTATGTATTCATTAACACAAGGAAAATTGCTTTTAAAACTTAGAGTAATGTTATGTTTTTATGGAATTTAGAAAATAGTAAAATCCATCCAATAATCTAAGCTTTAATTATAAATACATTGCACTAACTTTATAATGATTTGCAGTTATTTTGGAACGTAACATAAATGTTTTCAGTTCACCCTCTAATAGGGTGAACAAAAATGTTTGTTACATTCCAGAATAACTTCAAAGCATTATATGGTTAGTGCACTGTGTTTAGAAAATAGTTTTAAACAGTACTTTTTAAAAAATTTTAAATTAATTGGAATAATTCTTTTAAATCTGTTAGAATGCTATTACTTGAACAAAGTTCGAAGTATCTTTTTATTTCTGATAATTTAATGTTTTAAATAATTATAATAATTTGAAAATTCTTGTTTACTGCATGTATTTAAGATTTCTTTTGTAAAGTTTGAGTCATGATTTTTATAATTAACATTTATGATTTTTATATTTCAGGCAAACAGTGGTAAAGATACAAATGGATGTCAATTTTTTATCACTTGTGCTAAATGTGACTTTTTAGATGGTAAACATGTTGTCTTTGGTGAGTTCAACTTATTTATTTATTCTCTGATTTCACTTATATTAAACCTATCTAAACATTACAGTTTTATAATTTATAAATTTAATTGTTACATCATTAGCAATTTAGTAAGTCGGGTCAAAATAAATTAGAAAGCTTTTGAAAATAGATATGATTATACCAAATGTTAAGATCAGAAATATCAAATTCATTTGCTACAATGAGATGAGTTAAAGTGCAATTAACAGTAGGACTAGCTGGAGGTTTTGCAGGGCCTTGGAAAGAAATTATTGCTGGAGGTTTTGCAGGGCCTTGGAAAGAAATTATTGCTGGAGGTTTTTTCCAAAAAATCATATAATTAAACATAGTTTACAAACATTAATACATATAGTTATATACTTGACAAAGATCATAAAAAACAAAAATTATATTACGAAATATTTTAGAAATTTGAAAGTGTGGAGCTCCCGTGAGCGCAGGACCTCTGTCCAAGGTCCAAAAAACCAACATCTGAGCCATTCCTGATTAATGGGTTAAAAGCTAAATCTTAAGTAGGATAATAATAGTGTACATAGCATTGGATTTCAGTGAATACTAAATCCAATACTAACTACTAATTTAAGTTACAAATGAGTAATGCAAACATATCTATTACAATTATATTTTGAAGATAGATTTAATGAAGGAAGAATGCCTTATTATTTTATCAGTATTAATGAATAAGCATGGAATAGCATTGATATAGTATAATTTTGTTTGCATTAAGCTCTAAAAAATAAAAAAGTGAGCTTTGTAATTTTTTGTCTTCCAAATTCATGTTTGTTTGGGAGATTTTTTTTTTATAAAAAAGTATTTGGTTATCAAAATAAACAATATCTGGATCTTTAATCTTTGAAGTTTATACTGGATAATAAATTAATGAGTGTTAGGAAACAAATATATTTAGGTATTTTGTAGAATAAAATTTTCTCGTTAGTTTGAAATAGTCTTTAGATGATGGAATATTTTCAAAATAAGAAAACATTCTTGTTAACCAAATTCAATATGTAACTTCTTTATGAATAAAAATAATTACTATTATCATCATTTTAAAAGTTGAAATTTAATGGTAAAATAAATTTAATCATATAGAAAAATAGTGATTCAACATAATATCCTTTTTCTTTTGTTTAAATAATTATACCATTTTTATATAATTATTTTATGATCTGTAAGAAATACCTAATTATATCTTTATTTGGATTTTTTGAAACATTGAACCAGAATTTTTTAAATTTGAATAGCATTTCTAACATCATTAGCAAATTGCTACGGGCAAATATTTAAAATATGCCCTTTAATGATTATAAAGTATATCTTTGTTGTTTGCTTAGTTGAATTTAGTTGTTTTTGATTTTAAGAAAAAAAATAGTTAATAGATAATAATAGATTGATCAATTTAATTATATGTTGATAAAATATCATATTGAAAACCTTTAATTACACAAATAAATGTTGTCTTTATTATATAATATGATGTATGTATATATATATATAAAATACGAACNGTATCTGGGAAAAATGAAACATGTTTTAATGTGCATCCTTTTTATACAATTGAAGAAAAACTGAGCAGCCAGACAAAATATGCCTACAAGAGTCTTGAAATAAAAAGAGATGCTCCACTTCTTCTCATTAGTTGCACTTATATATATATTTATATGTATGTATATATATATATAAAATAAGAACATATTTAAGAATAAAGTTTGATTAAATTATTAAAATCCAACTATAAAATCTTTTTAGGTCGAATACTTGATGGATTACTTGTCATGAGGAAAATAGAAAATGTTCCAACCGGACCCAATAACAAACCAAAAATTCCTGTAATTATATCGCAATGCGGCGAAATGTAAACGTTTTAAATAATTCCAGTTATTAATTTTTTCTATAAAAATAATTATTACGACAGAACAAATAAAAATAATTGTTTTTTAATAAAAATATAGACATTATTCTCATTCAGCTTCAGTTTTTTTGTTTTTTCCTCTCCTAAATTTATAGTTAAATATCAGAGATAATATTTATATATGTTTTTGGTCACATATAATTATATACAAATTAAAATTACCCAAAATTATAATTGTTACTTGATACATTGGTAAAACTCCATTATTTCAATGTTTTCTCATAAGGAAAATTGCAACTCATAACCAAGCCTGTTAAAAAGGGACTGCTAAGATGTTTTTATGGCTTCGGCTAGCAATTTCTAATGAAGAACAGCATAAAATTTTTAGATTCAACTAGCCAAACCAGTTTAAGAACATAATATAAAAAAAGTAATGAAAATCATTTAGTTTATATGTTGGAAAACTCTGACCTATCTAAACTTTAAATAAAAATTTGATAGGCAATAATAATGGAAAAAAAGAAATTATTTTATGGTCTGTTAAGATTTACAATTTAGTTTTTATGTGATAATTATCTATATTGTGTTAAAATAACTATAATTATCTACTGTCAGCTTTATTAATTCTACATTTACTTAGTAAGGGAAAAAAACAATAATTTTTAATATTTAAATAATTATATATTATCTTTTTATTAAATCTGATATTCCTTTATTATGATAATTATATAATGGTTATTTTTTTTTACTCAAATTTTTGGTAATTTTCATATATTTTATCTTTAATAATTTATGGCGCGTCGTCATACTTTATATATTTTTTTAATTGTAAATAATAGCTTGTTAAATTATGCAGTGTTTTGGGACTAAGAAAAAATTAAATATATTAATTGGAATATTGCCTTATATTAAATTTAATTTACAATGCCATTAATCAAAATTACTACTAGTTATTGATGAGCAATCACACCATTTACAACATTGATCACCTGTTATTGATTTTTTGTTTCTTTCGAACATAGTCTTTTTTAAATGGTCTTTCCTTATCAGCAAGTGGACAGATTCTCAATGGAAAAAACGTTTTGTTATACTACTAGTCTCCCTCATTTATGATTGCAATCCCCAGAGAAATCACAACAATTTTATCAATCTATATGTTTTTCTTTTTATTTTATTTTTTCTTTCTTCCTATCTTCAAATCAAAAACAAGGAAGTTAAACTGATGTTATCCAGTATTAACTGACATTAAACAGACTTCTATAAATAATCAAACTCATTTATCTAATAATTTCTAACTTTTATTCATTAAAAAACTTTCTATAATTATAAAATGTTCTTACTATTTTTTTTTTTCTTTTTTAAATGTCTACATTAAATTTATATAAATTTTAAACATCAATTAATAAGTTTATGTATTTGTTTATGCGAATTAAAAAAGAAGCCTTCGAATTTTATTAACATCTGTTTTTAATATTCCTGCCATGGATAAAAACACCATTTGGGACGTTATACAAGAAAATCGGTGATGAAAGATGAAATACAGACATTAGTCAGTCCAAAGAGAAGGAACTTAATAAATAAACAGCAAGTCATCCACATTAGTGGTTGTCAAAAGGTACAGGCTCAAATCTATACACCATAACACATCTATATACACAAATATAACTTATATACATTTCTCTGAAAGAAAAAGAAAAGGCGTGTATATATACAAATAAGCTGATCTTTAAGACCAGATGTTAAATATTGCGCCTCCAGTTATAGGCAAGTATTAATTTCTATATCTCGATCACAATCTCGACACTTGACGTAACAACACCAATAAAACTTGCACATGCATCTCTCTCGTATTCTCATAATCCTACTGTTATAACCACGACTACAGCACAGTAACTCGCATCCGTCGATGCCCGTCGAGGAACGATTGCAGGGTCGTCCGTGAGTTCCTATAGTACCCACTCCATCGTCTCTGACGCAAAAATCTGGAGACATGTCCAAATATACCAGATCTGTATCCGTGTGCGGTTTAAAATGAGGATGAAGAGGAACCAATACTGTTCTTTTTCCTATTTTTCGCGCTTCAACTTCCGTTGCACCGTCGAATTTTTCCTTTAATACCGCACCTATTTCGCGAAAGGAAGGCATGGCACGCCAGCACGTCTTGGTTTCGCAGGAACCAGAAACTCCGTGACATTTGCACTCTTGCCTGATTTCCTGTTCGATTGCCTGTGGACATTAAAATCTTTACTTTAATTGCTTTCTCTTTATCTTAAAAATAAATCATTAATCTTATTTTATAAAGCACTCGAGAATAAATTTTAAATGCAAGTCTTATATAAACATTAAAAACAATATATTCTTATATTTTACGTATTCTTTACTATCTTCATTAAGTTTTGCATTATTTATACTGTTTCCATTAACTATTTTCTTTAAAACTCTACAGAACCGTCTCGATTTTAGCGCTTATTTAAAAGCCAGTTTTATAAATTACTATAGACTACATTTGATTCTAAAAATATACTTAGTTAATAAACTGCTGTACTGTACTTAGTGGAAGAGAATGACAATAAAAAGAAATTTCACATTTTATAAAGGAAAAAAATGAGCATAACTAGTCGGAGCGAGTGCATTAAAGTTGGAATTCCGTCGGTGAAGAGTTGTGAAGCGACCCCTTTTCAGACACAGGTTAGAGAGAGTTCTCGTTCATGATAGATGACAGGTAAAGATGATCCCCTGCAGGTAAATTACGGCCTTTTCGGGCGAGTAGTTATTCCATATTTCTCTCGAATGAAAACTGGTAATGGTCTAATGTTACAATTGTTTTATTTCCAAGATTTTAAGATTAAAAAAAATATTTGTAATAAATGAATACATCTGTAATATTAACTTTATTGATTTTAAAGTTTCTATCGTCAAAAACTTTTATATATTACTCAAATGAGAGAAGTTTATATCCAATTAATTACCAGAATCTTGTTACAAGTCATTCTGAGTTAGTTTGATGAGAGCGAAATGACTCAAATATGCAAATGAGACATGCAAATCAGATTATTAACAGTGAGTTGAGAAACATTTCGGAAAAGTTTTCTATTCGGTAAGGAATGGGGTTTCTAAATATAAACGAAAAAAAGCGATCGTATAACGTCGTTAACCGTTATACAAATTTAGAAAACAGAAAAGTTTAAAAAAACAGGCAGAAGGTGGAAGCAAACCTTGTTCCTGCAAGGATCCATTTAAAGCTTCTAAATTCCTCGGAAACCATCAAATAGCTGTCAGTTTTAAGTGTTCGGCATAAACATTTACCAAACGAACTCTCTTGTCGGTGGTTTTATAGCCCCGACCACATGGACCCCATCTCTCCTGCAAATGATCCCCTGAAGTAGACGGAGAGTCTGGCATGACAATAACTACACAGACTTACTGAAATAGTTTTGATTCGATTGAATAAAAGTTGAGGGCCTCACCTTTCTGCCAGCTTCATTGTTATGCAAATTCATCAGAGCTCGTGCATTAGCTCCACTTCTTGCAGATCGTAAATCCCTGGAATCGACAAAGGTTTTAGAAAATGCTGTGCCATAAGCTACGTTGTCGGAACATCCAGACCACTGAAATCCTTCGGAAATCTGACTTTGGATGCTTCTATCACAACCACACCTTTCCAATGATCCACTACTGCATGCTCTAGTCACGGCATGAGCAACGCCTGCCGATGTGATGGCGTGGACGAATGCCGCTTCCCTCGTCCCTAAAAAAATAATAATAATCGTATAGATTTATTTTAAAATATAGAAAAGACTCCAGACTATTTTAACTCGGTATACACATTGCCGATAATCAATTCGTTAGAAGTTTTTACACCCGATCTACAGGTTTTATTCCCGTTGGCAAGCAAAACGGTAAGTCAGGCTGCCATTTATCAAGTTCTCGTAAGAAGTACATAAATCAAGGTTTTCGAATGAAAGACAATCCAAAGAATCAATTGACTCGCTTTCCTAACTAATCACTGTGTGCTGACAGTGTAAAGCAGGATATATCTTGATGCCATGGGGCGGTATGTTCTCCCTCTGCGTGATCGGCATCCCAATTTTAAAATCATTACGCAAGTCGGATTTAAACTGGGACTTTTTTCGAATCAAAATAAATCAATGGTCGTGACGTCAAGTTGATTTAATACGGCACCCTTTTATAAATCTAAAAGCGTGCAACACCGTAACAATGAGTAATCTTAAAATCCTTTATTCTAACGTTGTAGTAGTAAAAAAAAAAGCCCATTTTTCTTTAGCAAATCAAACTCGATTTGATCAATTTTTTTTTTTAATTTTAAGTTTACACTGGGCATAAACGATGGTTCTTTACCTTTCTACGTTTGTAAAGAAGGGCAATTATCCAAAATAAATAAACTGTAATGCGTTTAGCACGTGCCAAATTCGTTGCAAACTATTGACCAATACCGCGGTCAAGGCAACAGCTTGGTGGAACTGCCAATGCACATGATAAATGACTCGGGATTTCGATTTGAGGGGAGGTTTTGTGGATTAAAGAATATAACTCTGACTCCTTTACATAGTTTGCACTCTCCAAAGAATATATATACACACAACTTGAGAAAGAATATTTTTAAAATAGAATGATTTATCGTCCGAGTATCCCAAAACAACTTAAAACATGGAAGTTTCAAAACCAGTTAAATTATACCGAGACGTATTTATTGTCGAGCGGCGTAAACCTTCACTCCTTTGCGCTTTCATTATTTATATCACGAGAAAATATAGAACAATGCAGCCAAATTTAAAATATTATTTCTTAATTACACGTTTTAATAGTTATTTAGTCATTCGATCTGAGTAAACTTTGTAATGATACGAAAGGTGTTGAACTTTGGCGAATTGTCTACAACACGCTCGAACGAAACCATTTTTTAAATGATATTCGTACATTTTAATATAATGAATCTTCCCGAAATTTAATTATTAAATCCATTTAAACCATGTAAAATTGAAAAATGGCGTTCGAGTTATTAAATTATTTTTATAAAAGTAAAATAAAAAACAATATAGTAGTAGTAGTGATATTACTTTTGGATTGTCTAGCTCTAAACATTTTCGCTCGGCATTTTAACTTTTTTTATCTTTTTTTCCTTCCCCCGATACAAAAATTGATTGTTATATAGTTTTGAACTTGGACCACATCTGCCTCGAGAGAATTCTCCAGTCTGGCATTGAATTCTTTTTATTTACTTGCCTGTAAATCGAATTTTAATACAGACAATCGGCTAAGAATAAAGCACAAAAAAATTACTAAAGTGATACATATTTACCATCAAAATTAATAAATAACTTATTTAAAAATAAAGTAACACCAGTCAACCTTTCCCACGTTTAATTAATAACCATGATAAAATTATCATCTCATTTTATTTCTTGCATACATTTTTATAATTTATGTATACGTTGTAACGTTTTCCATATCAATTTTATCGATTTATCTATTTAAAAAAAAAAAAAGTAATTACAACACTACATAATATTTAATGGAAGAGGTTTCTCCAGTGTGGCCATCGGCAGCTTTTTGTGTGGTCACAACTATCAAAAGTTCGCATTGTTCAATTGTGTCTAGCGAGGAGAGCTTTTTTTCTCGCTCGTATCTAACCCTAAAAGTTTTTTTTTCTTGTACATTAATCCATCTCTTCTAAAAGAAATCGTGTCTTAGTTTTTTTAAAGGCTGGAACGAATTAATATACAACACTCTATTAACTAGAAACATATAAATTACACATATATATATGAGTGTTTCGCCAAAGTTAGCACGATGTTTCTAGTTGATATACAAATTATAAATACATTTATAGCTAGAAAGATTTAAAATTTAGAGAGTTTTATTAATGGAAAAAGTATTGTTTCTAGTTTCGTTTAAAGTTATACAATTGTATAAAAGTTCCGGCGCGTTTAATATAAAACTATTGATCAAGAAAGAGTTTTATCTGATAAACTACTGGTTTGGGGAAGGCTTATTAAATTTCCTATCATGATTCATCGCTTGATTGATTAGTCGAAGCGATTGATAAATCACTAGAACGATTCGTCTTGGAACCGAGAGATCGTCGCTCGAAAAGAAGAAAAAACTAAATAGATGCATTACACTTAATTATTCTATTATACGAAGGATTAATACTTGATCAAATTGATTATTCTACCATATAAAAATAAAAACTATGTATAACATTTTTCTATGAAGGGAAAAAAATTATCTTTTGATGTTTTAATCTTCGAGACGATGATAAGAGCTTAATTTGATTAGACTTATATAAAAATTTATTCCCGTAATAAGCACGAATAATGAATTATTCCTTTGCTTTTTTTCTTTTATAATTGTAGTAAATGAAAATTTTGTAGGAAACAATCGAATATTTTTTTTTATTTTAGACAGAGGAAAATAAAGTAAAAAAAGAAAAAAAAACGAGGAAAAGTACTGATCACGTTTAAAGGAAATTAAATGTTGGATAGGACAGTGAAGCACGTTTAAGTATCCTGTCAGGCAAGGATCATCCTTTACCTACGTTATTAAGTGGGAGCCGTGACGTCAATAATCACCGCCTTGCAGGATTAGCCCACAGCATCGTGTTAATAGACAAAAAAAAAATGTCCATTTTTGACCATTTTTAGATAATAAACCTTCCAAATGTCCAATTGCATTCGCTGTACAAATTACAGGATAATTTTTTATTATTATTATTTAAAACACGTGTAGAACAATAAAGTTCGTTTCTTTTAACAAAATAAAATGTTTAAATTTTCTATTATTTTAGTTAGTACCATAATTTTTAAACTGCACTTCCTTTGTTTTAGAAACCTGTATGGTAGGTTTGCTTGTTTAACAATTTTCTTTAAAAATTACACTACTTTATCCGTGTTTTTTGTTGTAAATTTTAATATATATATATATATTTAAATATTTTAAAAATTTTACTTTATTTAATATTTAAATAAAATATTTACACTTAATTATCTGGTACTTATCAACAGTCGAGTACAATACTAACTCTTGACAATAGACTTTCAACAGTGCACTCATTGAAGATTTCTTGATATCAAATGTCAATTTAACATTCTGAATAGCTAATTAAATGCTATTTTAAGATATTATAGTTATAGACTGCATACAAAAGATGATAATTCGAACATTTTTGAAACACTTTACACTGTATAATTAACGAAAAAAGCCTTCCAACAATGTTAATTTTTCGGGTTTACTCAAGAGTAAAAATTATTTAATGAGAAATTACCGGGGTTTTTTTTTCTGGTGATCTCATTGTAAAATATTTTTCTTGGCATTTCTGTATTCATTTTTCTTCGTTTATTTTTTTGGCACTGAAGTTTCCAACTTGGCTAATTATCATTAATTTTAAAAAATGCTAACTTGTTACAACTTCAGTTAGAAATAGAATATTCAGTTTAGTAAAGAAATAGAAGTAACTTTAAATATATAAAGGGCAAGTTTATAAAGACTTTTTGCAATAAGTAACAAGTAAAAACTTCTTTTGTAAAGTAGAAATTCTATAAAATGAAGCGAAGGTATATGTTTCTGTATATTTATATATATATATAGGCCTATTAATGCAAGAAAATTATGTAAATAAATAATTTATGAGTCAATCGTCTTTGGCATTTCTAGTATCATCGCAATTAACTGTGTTGACTCTCATAATCCATTAGATCCACGTTCTAGAGAAGAAGAAAAAAGGAGAAAAAAAGGAAACGTGTATTTAATGAATTACAAAGTCCAATGGTAGGAAGTAGCAAGTTGCATACTCCGAAACAAAACTTGCAAAGTTTTCAGTGTCTACGTATCTAAAATATCCCGTTTTCAAGAATTCCAGAGATAATGATTGCTACATTCTTCAATTTCTGCATTCTTTATCGTCTCGATAATGTTACTAAAACAGTAGATGCTTCGATTTCTAAACTAACGGAAAATAAAGATTATCGATAAAAATTTCGCACGAAAATCAAATTAACTTCCTCTACCGATACCGAAGCTTTATAAGCCCCGAACTTCGTAAAGTAACCGAGGAATAAACGTAAAAAAAAAGAAAATGGCTGCACAAATTCGATTTGAAGCTCAAAAGTTGTTGAGATGATTAATGGACGGATGCTAATCGAAGAACTGATTAGAAATTATCTCTAACAACGATTAAAAGAATTAAAAAAAACAACAAAAAATGGCGCTGACCCCCCAAGGCCAATATAAAATAACTTTAAAAATAACCCATTTGATAGTAGAGGCACGAAATAGTACGGCAGCATTATTATTTGTGTAATAGAGGTAACTAATTGAGCTTTGTCCTTCATCGTGGCACGGTCGAAATTGAACGATCATGTAAATGCGCTTGTTTTTATATGCAAAGCAGCAGGTGTGCCGCCTCGGGCATCCATAACACCTACACGACATTACTAACTCGATTTGTATTCCCCATGAATGCAATATATATAGTCAAATATAGTCAAATTAAGTCGTTGGGAGACAGCTTAACACTTAAACTATGGGATAAAATTACACTATATTTACTTATTCCAGGGTGTGCCTACTAAATGGGTGATTGACCATAACCACTCGGAGAAGTGGTCATGGGTTCGCTCGAGTTCGTCTCTTAACAGTAGCTCCCCATTCTCTACACCCAAATAAAACTTTCCTTACGTTTTACTACTTTAAGAAAAGTTTGTGTTATTATAAATTAATACAAATTATCAAAAATATCTTTATCTAAATTGGAGGTGGGGGTTTTTTTTTTTTGTGTAATAATTAAACGAATTCTTTGTGTTTCAAAATGCGAAATTCTAATTAACTGATGATAAAATGATTTATTGTATTCATGTTTCCAACCAATTCTACTATTAATTGGCTATAAGAATCGTCTAGTGATAAATATCGCTCTAGATCGGCCGTAAAACTTGTTTTGTTAATTAACAAAATAAATAAAATAAATAGAATTTTAAGCTGTTCTCGTTAGAAGGAGAAAACGGAAATTTTTGGATTTAATTAACTAATTTAAGAATTTGGCTTAATTAAACTGTGTAAATATAACTATCTGAGCAAATTTTTTTTACTGTATAAATACAATTAATTAACTCTATTTTATATGATTTAATTATATACAGTAACTACAGGTCTCTAACAATTAAGATTTATTACATATTAAAGAATATTTTCTTGTTTAAATTATAGATTTATTCTTGAANGGTTTGACCATGTTACTAAACTACTTCACTGTTTATTTATCTGTGCATGGCTTCCTTTCCTCTTCCTTTTATACTTATTACTTTTATTACAATTATTATCGTACACGCTAATATTGTCTAATTGCATAGAGTTTTCATCAAACAAAGGTGCAGCTCTCCCTCTTGCTATCAACTATCATTTTTTTTTGTATTCTATGAAGATTACTAACATTGTTGTCAAAATTCTCTAACCCTTAGAAGGTTATCTCTTCTCCCGTTGGAAATGTTAGCATCACGTTTTTAACGGATATGGTTATATTATATTTTTCAATTATATCTCTTTCTAAAATCCCTCATTTAATTTAGTTATTTTATGGTCTAGTACATAACATAAAATAATATTTGAACAAATAAACTAACTTATAATGTAGATTGATGGGGGAAAAAACTTTAAATTATTACAAATAACCTTACAGATTTATCTATATTTAAAGGAGTTCCATTAAAAACCTGAAAAAACAATAATATATATAAAAAAAACAGGCCTTTATGAATATAACCAGGTTTTAATAGAATGTAAATTAATTTAAAAGTGTTTAATTAGAAGACAATATATTTACCATCACTAAGCACTCTTCCAAACATCCTGGTGCTGTTATATGTGCTGCAGTTCCATCTTCTATTTTGAAATTGCCACTGGCATTCGTGTATGGCATTTTCAGCACCTTTCTTTACACTTTCCATTACTTCGACGTTTTTCTTGCAAATTTTAATTTGCCGTTTAGTTAATCCATCTAGAGCATCGCAATGATCGGCTCGATCAATGGTCGCAACCGATGTGGAGCGAAGGAGAGATCTAAAAAATTAAAGAAAATGAATGGATTAATGTAATCATTTCTTATTCTTTTCCGTTTCTATCAGAAACAATGGCAAAAAGATATGATTTATAATCTCGAAAACCTAAAATTATCGATCATAAAAATGTTATACGATCGAAGAAAGTATTTTTTTAAATCTTCTGTAGATCCTGATATGTTATTATCTAGTCATGTTCTAGAGGGAGATTATTTTAAGACAACTGTTTTAATCTTAATAAGACTCAATTTCTAGTTACTATATAAAAGACTATTAAGTAATTTTGACAAATTTATTATGTTCTAGTTTAAAGGAAGGAAGAAAAAAAACACGCTGATCACGACCAGACTACAAACTTCATGACAGATTTCTTAAGGCAAGCATTGTTATATGTAAGACGATGATTATAATCATTTCCTAGTTTTATTTAAAAATTCTTGTAGAGTAACTCTGAAGGAATGACAATAAACAATAGACGATTGTTATTTTTACTAATAAGTAGGGTTTTTTTTCGACTAGAAAACTAATTTTGTGACTTAAAATATGCAACACGGTATAGCCCGAGTGCAACTGTACATAGCCATTAGCCATGTTACTTCAGTACAAGCGGTAGTTAGTAGCGACAGTCCCCGGTAGATAAGACTTAAAGTAAACTTGTTAAGAGTCCTTTCTCTTTTTTTTTTTAAAGAAAGAATAGGTAACGAGAAATGTAGAAATGTATTGATAAATTGAAAAATAAGCAGACGGAACTAATTTTTAAGAAGAATTTATTGCGTGAATTTATCATAGAACTATATAATTTTTTTAATAAAACAACTGATGCTCAACACAATTCAGATAATAGTCGGTGACGTTCATGTGCACGCCTCTAAACTTCACATCAAGAATGGCGGCTTCGGTGCTAATAACAGGGAAGAAAAGTTTCCCATGCAATCAGTTTGCCTTCATAAAACAGAACAACAGAAGAAGCCGTGAATTATTCTCCAATGTCACGACATCTTTGCTTCTTGTATTTTTTGGTTATAGTTTTTCTCGGTATAATTCTAACACTCGGTTTTTCTTGTTTACGTTATAAAATTTCTCGCTATCATTTTTATATTCTAAGGACATAGAAACTTACTTTTTTATTCGCCCAATTGTAACTGTTAACGGCTTGTAAATAGTAGTTTTATTCGATAGAATTCCGAATAAATCTGAAAAGTTTGGGGTATTATATTGAATATATTTGTTCAAAACTTATGAGATTTGTTTTTGAAACATTTTTTTCTTATACGAGATACTAACAGAAAGCAAGCTTTATTCGATTCAATATTCAAACAGTTGACAGGCAAGTAGAGAGTAAATCAAATGGATGATATATCGTTGGTTTACAAAATGGAGCCCGAATGATTTATTTTCATCAAACCGTCCATTTCACTGACATCTATTTATCAGAAAGTTCGAGTCGAGTCCATCAAGTACAGAATAGAAAGAATTCTTCCCAAATTGATGGCACTCTGAGTCAAGTACAACACATTTCATCCAACAACTAAATTAGAAAAAGATCTACATTAATTATCTTCATCTGGTGCGGATGAAGACATTTCTCATCGGACTTTAATTCCAATCACAATCAGAATAGCATAATTATAATTAAAGATAAACTTTGAATATTATTGTTATCCAAACTTTAAACATTGTTTCGATCAGAGATAACAAAATTTGATTTATGAGATGATCAAAAGTTATTTGATAAGTTCCTTAAAGATAATGTTACAAAGATTTTCAAAATTGATCTCTCGCCGACATTGTTTAATGACTTTATATACTTTTCTTAATGCTTGAACTAATAAGATTTATCTACCAGGAAGATATTTTTTAAATTGACACACTCCTATTGTGAATTTATAAATGATGTAATTAATTAATTGTTTAAAATTGACTTTATACGGAAGGACGTAAACGCGCCACCTAATTTTTTTTTTTTTCTTTTTTAGGTAAGAAGCGGCATTAATTTGGAAAATATTTAATAAAAATGACGAGTAACAAAACTTTATACTGTAAATTCTACAAGCTTAATGGAGAAAGAAACTTTTACTGTTTCAATTCCGATCACGTTTAAATCCTTTTAAGAAGTCGTTAAGCATTAATTATCATCAAATTTGAAGAAAGTCGAAACGATTTTCGATCAGCGATTAAAACTATGCAACCAAAGTAATTCGTCAAATTCTTTAAATAACATTTGACAGCACAAAATCATTCGTTCAATCATTAATGAAACTCGTCTTTGCTCTAAAGTACTTTTTTATACAACATTATATATGGCCTACATATATAATTGAAACCGAAAAAAAAACCTGAATAAATCTAATAAACATTTTGCAATGATAAATCCTTCGGGAGAATAATATATTACAATTTAAAGAATGTTAAAGCGAAGAAACCGATAGCCAATAATCGAATAAAGGTACTCTCGAATTGTCATTGTAAGCTAATTACTCGGTAGAAGCAGCGGGAAAACTTTTCTCCTATCCGAATCAAATCAAACATTTGCCTTTCAGCAAGTAGTAGATGCCACACGCAGTGTCGTGAGTGGCCGGTAACTCGACTTCTAAGAAGGGACGGGGACTGTTAATTTTTACATCGTTTGGTGGTCTCAGACCTCTCCTATATTTACTCCTTGTCTTTGGAATATCCCTGCTCCTACATCGATTAACCTGAACTCACTCAACAGGGAAAAAATCGTTTTGGAAAGTTGCAAAGATCGAGTCAACATCCATCTTCTTCCCCCTTAACAAGCTTATTTTCTATTCAGATTAGAAATTCCGTGTAAATTTTCCCGTCGAATTATAATGTTTATATATAAAGGTAAATTAAGTTCAGTAAGCTTGCTTGTACACAATATAACATATGAATGAATCATTTTTCTTTAATTAAAAATTGATATAAAATTAAATAAAATTATTTTCTCAATTGGCGTTAAAATAACGTTGAGATTTATAACTTTTTATCTACTTTAATTTGTTTAATATTCTTACTTAGTGGGTTAGATAAGATCCATAAACATGATGATATCCGAACTGATAAAGAAGATTTTAATATACAGTGAAATCAGACTTGTAAGTTTATTTTATTTCGTTGTCGTACTGAAATTTAAACAAGTTAAGAAAGTTTATTTTTCGTAAAATTCTTTCCTTTTCATAAACTATGCAATAATTATAACATAGAAACACTGATGTGCAATCTCTTTCCGTAGAACTCCAATGAGAACAAATAATTTACTTATCTAAAATTAATTAAAATGACACATACATTAGGTTATTTTTTAATGTTTAAAACGTTATATATTTTATTTATTTTATAAAAAAAATATGCAGAATTTTATTTGAAAATTTAAAAAAAATCGCTCGAAACAAATGACACTTCTGAATTGATATAAGCATTAATAGTGTATAAAAGTCACTTATACGATCCGTTTCAAACCATTTGCACACTTTTATATACACTTCTTTTTTTAGAAAAATGAACAATTCAAATATATATCCGTCTGTCTGCATTAAGAAGAAAATTTATCGTAATTTAAAAAAATCTAAAATTTGGAAAGGGGAAAAAAATGTGAAACAACTACTTACAGCCACCTCAAACCGATAACGCCGCTGCACCACACTGAAATCAAGAAAATCCTTTGGAGATTGGACATTGTTCCCCCTTGTCACATTGTCGCACTGACACCAAGGTCAGCTACAATGACCACACACACTAACATATTCCCGACGAGTAGAGAGCCCCCAACTTCGTCCAGCCAATCCTCAACAACCACAGACACCAGCTTTGTTGCCACTGGTTCATCTACCTGCTGTATGGCCTAGCACGTGGATACAACTGCGCCAGACACGTGGAATAAGGAAACGACTGGAATTTCCGATATTCCACTCTTACAATATTCTTTTTAATAAATTCGAGTACCGCAAAACTTTTTTTAAAAAATATATTCCAACGCGTCGGAAGATATGATTCATTTTAAAAAATTCTATCGTGGGTTTAGATATTTTATATCACGTGGGTAGTTAGGAGAAGAGGGGGGAAAAGTATTTTAGCATTTAGAATTTGAAGTGGGAAAGTTATTTTGTTTGTTGCCCTCGCCTAATGGGCCTCATATCAACTACTTCGGGACGGAATTGCTCCCTCACTCCCTCTGGCGGATATTTTTTTTTCCTTCAGCATCCTCCTCCCCTCCAGTTGTAGGGGAAGAACCCCCCAAAAAACAGTCTTTTAGTAGTTTTTTTTCCGACTAGATATAATCTCTGATTCGGGATAACGTTACCGCCTTAAGAGCGATAGATAAATATGTTTTTAAAAAGGGAGACAAATTTATTAATTACGCTAAGTAACTAGAAATTATTTAAATAAATTTTCAACAGATATAAATCCATCGAAGTTAAGTAATCTTCGGGACCCCTTAAAAATACTTTTCTACTTTTGCATATAGAGAGTTTCATTAAAATATTTCTACGGGGAAAGAATGTTGAATGACAAAAGAGTAGAAAGCAATTCGTAGGCTGATTAGGAAGACATTTTATTATGATGCTAATGTCGTATCTCCAAAGCGAGTTAATGTTTAAAAGTTTCGATGTCGAGACGACGAAATTTAAACAGATGATGGAAATTCGTCTGCGATTTTTCTGTTCTAGTTTTACTTAAAGCATAGACAAAACAGGGTTTCCTATTCTCTAAGGCATCATCCTTGGATATTCGGTAGATGTAGCCGTATTTTGTGGTCTGCATGTAAATTAAAGCAAACAATGGATGACGTCACGAGAACTCAATGTGATCGACCCAAAGTCACGTTTTAGATCGGAATGGGTCACATTTTACACCACCAAAAAAAAAATACATATATATATATATTATAATAAAAAAAATATTCTCGTCCGTCTTGTTGCTGTCTCTTAACTTCGTTTTAAGGTCGAAAATTTAGGTCGCGACTTTAATTTTATTTATTTACGTCATCATCTACTGTAATAATTATATTTAAAATTTAAATTATATAATCGACCAATTAAATGCTATAGTTACGAAACGTCATACGAAAATAGACGAATCGGAGATTTATAAGTTAAACCGTTGCCAATCAATTTAAAAAATAAAAAATGAAAATTGATTGGCAACGAAATAATTTTGAGTTAAAAATAGAATAAAATTTATCTGAAATAGTTTTTACACTGTCAATACAATCCTATTTTCAGTTTATAGCTAAAGACTCGTTAAGAAAATTAATCCTTCATTAAACAAGTTTAGAATGATTAGATACATTTAATATTTTCGATAAAAATATCGAGGAATAAATTAAAAAAAAAAAAAAATTATATATTTTAAGCAATAAAAGGGGACAAATATATGGGTCAGTTTAATTACACATAATTAATTTTATCAAATTATATAGCTATAATAAATAGACGTAGTGTAAACAATATATAATTCCGAAATCTTGTAAACAAATAAAATCGTATAATGTACACAATATGTAAATATCTGAATCAACGTCACATTTATGTTTACTACACTAATGTATTATAAAAGCCTTAAGTACAATTTATTTAATGAAATTGTAAGCTTGAATTTGTTTATTTTCTCAACTATTCTATATTATTTAAGAGATTATTTTACAGTCAGAAAGATAGAAAATTAACTATAAATTGAATATAGTATGTGTTTATACATATTCGATTTTATTTTTTATTTTTTTACAACAGTTTGTGTATTATAAGTAGTAGAATAACAGTATAATATATTCTTACAGAAGTTTAATCTAGTTTTATTCTTACAGAAAAATTCTAAAACCCTGTATAAGTATAAAATTATATTATTTATAGTATTTTTGATAAGTTAAAAAAACATTGTAAAATTAAAAAAATAATAATAATTTATACTCCTTAATGATCACTAAAAGAAATAAAGTAAAATAATTTTAGAAATGCTAAGAATTGTTATTAAAATACATAGATTGTTTAATTAATTTTATATTCTAATTAGATTTGAAAATTCTAAAAGAAAAAAAATTTTTAAATGTATATAT